ATAATTCCTAATAAAAAAAAATATTCAGGTTTCCATTCTATTTTAACCCCTATTATTGCCTCCAGCCAATTTTTGATCCTTTTCCCAAAAATTTTTTGCTTCCTCACAGGTCCACCATAAATGGTAATATGTTCCGTGTATTGATTCGCATTTCCAGCATTTTGGGGAGGTGTTTGTTAAAATTTTATTCAGCTTCACTTTTATATGATTAATTTATATTCAATGATGCATGTAAATGCTATTTAGGAACTAACTATATTCTTATTAGTGTTGCAATGAAAGATCTTACTTCTTGAAATTTTTATTCCTTTTTTTCACCCCGGTCAGTTAAGAAGTGGGGCTCCATTTACACGGTTGCCCAATGACAAATTGAAAGCTGTTATTCCACCTTTCTTGCCGCCTTCGAGTTTTGAGTTGTGGAATTCTGATAGAACACAGAACAAAGAACAAACAAGACTTGGCTTTCCACACAGATCTACAAGTATTGACAATAGCACTGACAAAGTAAGAGACTTATTTAAAGTTTTATTTAAAGTTTAATAGTCAACTTTCTGGGTTCCTTAAATACATTTTTCGTTCATCTATAAATTAAAATTGTGTTTTGAAATTTGACTATAATTTATTTTCACCATTTATTTATTTGGCGACCACCCTGGATACAATTCTGGAGGTTGCACAACAATGTAAAAAGAAATCAAAGATAATATAACTAATATGCATGTATAAAAGTACTCCCATATGTCATTCTGTGCTATTGTCTTGGATTCTTTTAAAATGCTTATTCTTGTCGTTAATAAAATAAGTGCAGAAATTTGGACTGTAAAATTACAAAGACAATGGCATTTGATGATCCATTTATAGTTAGATGTGAGAAAGATTTCACTATCAATCCCCAAATAACTTTTTAAATGATTTGGCATTTCTCCAAGGTTTAATTCAGAATTCTTAACTATCATGATATTTTGCCTGTCAATGTAACTGCAAAACGAGCTTCATGAACACATACGTTATGCAACTTATTTTTATTATTCTACAGTTTACTCGTTTTGTTTCGTTGAATGCTTAAAACTGTGTCAAAATGAATTTATTTTATTAATATTTGTAGAAAAAAAAGTTACTTAAAACTGTATTTTTCCAGACATCCTTAAGCAGAGGTAGTAGACCAATTAAACTATCCACTTTTGCAAGAAGGCCTCCAACTCCCAGCAATTCAAGTAATTTCAACCATTCGCCTCATTCTTCTGGTGGATCCAGCAGCGTAGGAGGAGTTAGCCGGCATGGTGGAGAACTGCATAATAAATCAGGTATCTAGATATTTTAAAAGTAAAAATATATAAATTTAAATATAATAATATAGGAGCGGGCTAGGCAGTACTTTGAAGGCCAAAAGGTGCTTTGAAGTAAGTGTAAATCAGGGATGGGTTTCAGCCGGTTCTAACCGGTACGCTAGAACCCGTTCGTGAAATTGAGCGTATGTTTCAGAACCCGTTCCTCCGGTGGCATAGTACAGGAATGCTTGGCTTGCTCCACCCGCCCGACGCAATCTCCTTCATTCTCCATCTGCCTCATTTACTCGTTTGGGCAGCAGAGAACGAAAGGAGATCGCGTAGCCGAGGGCAAAGGAACCTGCAGCCTCCTTCATTCAAACATTTAGGCAGTGGGGGGGGGGGACACTTTCTCGCACACCTTCTTTCTTTCTCCAAACGCGTGCAAGAAAGTCCCCCCCCACCCATTGCCCAAACGTGTCACGGAACTGCGCCGCGAGGTAAGGGAAGCAGGTCTTGGGAGAATCCTTCCGTCCCCCTCCAGAGAGCCCATGCCGAAAGAGAGGAGGCGGGCTGGTTTGAATGCGGTCGAGCGGGCAATTTAGTGGCCCGCCTTCTTTGCTTGTTCAGGCAGTGGAGAAAGGAGGCATGCAATAGTCGAGGGCGAAGGTACTCCCCTTCGCCCTTGGTGGCCGAGGTGTTTTATCACAAGCCTCCTTTCTTTCTCTGCCTGCCCGAATGAGCGAAGGAGGTGCTGGCCCCAAACCAGCCTGCCCCCTTTTGTCTCCCGGCATGGGCTTTCTGGAGGGCGAGTTTCTTTCCAAAGACTAGCTTCTTTCAGGTGTGGCGGCGATGGCACATACAGCGCCTGCGCGAGTCTCCGCGAGCAGCTGGAGCATCGCGCAGGCGCTAAGACGCATGCATGAACTGCGTGCGTGCACGAGGACGCTGCCAGCCCCGTTCCAACCGAACCGGTTGGAACGGGATTAGCAACCCACCACTGGTATGTATGTAGGAGATGTATTTTAACTATTGTCTAACAATGTGTCATAACCCAAGGCAGAATTTACAGCTCCAAGTGCAAGGTGGATTCAGATCCAGAACAGAAACACCAGGTTTGAGAGATAAGAAGCCAACAACGACTGAGTTGGATAAAATTAAGGATGAGCAAGGCTTGAAGAGAAGGTTATCAGCAGTTACCAGGGCGCATAGAAACAACGGTCTAAAAAGGCAAATACTGTATAATTTATGGGTGCACGTTGCTCTAAATAAAAAGGCCAGCCTCTTTTCTTCCCCATATTAATTAAATGATACAATGTCAACTTGCGTCTATCAATTTATTTGGTAGCCAGCCTAGCAGAAAGAAAAAACTTCTTCTGTGGTCCACTTGGTTTCCATTTTACTGTCAAAAGAAACACAGAAGCCCAGCAGATTTTTTTTAAAAAAAAGAAAAACAGATTATTCTGCGTCTGTTTCAAAAGCATGTTTGCTTGAAAATAAGAAAAAAAGGTGTATACACATAGCAGTGGTGGGTTTCAAATTTTTTTAGAACCTCTTCTGTAGGTGTGGCAAGCTTTGTGGGAGTGGCTTCATGGCCATGTGACCAGGTGGGAGTGGCTTGCCAGCCATGTGACTGGGTGGGTGTGGCCAACTTGTAAAATGTGGTGAAACTCACTTAACAACGCTCTTGCTTAGCAACCAAAATGTTGGCTCAGAAACTCTGGCATTTGAAGCATGCAAGTCTTAAAGTTACAAGACCCTTGCACCCCTAACCCTTTAGGGAAAAAAACCCCCCAGGGGTGTTCAAACTAGGCAGCTTTAAGATTTGTGGACTTCAACTCCCAGAATTCCTCCTCCAGTC